TCAAAGCCACATCGAGTTTTGATATTAGCATGGGCCTTGATGTTACTTTCTTTATTTATTTTTATTTCCTTTGTCTCAACGTATCTTACACTACCGCTACGTATTGGACTAGCTTCTCCATGAGAATGTTTGAAGAGCAGACCAGAGAAGATTCCGACTCATCGTTAAGTGGCCTGGCCGCTTTCTTCTGTCGGATACGTCCTACATGTACTCCGCACAATAGCGAGGCGTTCCGTCTACTTTAATAATGAGAGGCCTGGTGACCACTTTTGGTTATTTACTTGCCCAAATACGCTTTCCGACTGTGGAGTCAGATTGTGTTTGGAAACAGTCATGAATATCATGGACTCGCGGAACTCGCCCTGTACTTTTCCTGTCCACTTTCACCCATTTTCTTACCTTTGTTTTCTTGGGCCTCTCGACAGCGAGTCCGATCGTCAAAATGTCCCATTCAGCCCCATAAAGCAAGGAGCTCCTCAGCTGCAAATGACCCAAAAGGGGTCCGCCAGCGGTAAACGAGAGACCATCAGATGGGTGTTCTTGATGTTACCCGTTGTATCTCCGGAGACGGATGGACTGCTCTGTTTTGTAAATAAAATACAGAAAAAAGAACCCCCCCCCGGCCATGACGAACCTTTGTTCGCTGTCTACGAAGCTTGGGAGGGTGAAATGCATAGAGTGCAGTAGGTCAAAAGGCTAAAGTAGCAAAACTACCCACTGCAGTAACCTTTTTTTACACCTTTTTTAAAGACGAGTCGGAGTTTGCCGTGGAGGACAACGAAAACAAAAGAAGACAACAGTCGCACGACTTTGGAACAAACCGTGTCAGTGGTGGAAAAAAGAAAATGCAAAATTCAAGAAAACCTGTCACAAACAAGGAGGCAGAGCCCCAGTCTGCGTCGGTACTTGATTTGAGCTTTTTTTTTTTTTTTAAAAAAAAAACAATAATAAAAAAATCGTTTCTTATTTTCAGGCATCCCAGTCCCAAGGTCATGGTCCTGGATTTGCCACACACCGGCCCCCTTTCTTGCTTGGGAGGTTTCCCTAAATATTTTCTCTGGTTCTTTTCTGGGTGCGATGGCCGTGCCCTACTTTCCTGTAAAATTGCAGTGGGCTTAAATCGGAAAACGAAACTTCCAGTCCAGACGTTGTATCACCGTTACAATGCCTGACGTGCCTCTCATCTTGTCCAGAAAGGGTGTAGTGAGCACAGACACCGAACTTTTCTTGAGCTGTGCGGGGGTCAGGTTCTCTTTTCTTACCACACGACATGTTTTCCAGACTGACAGGGGCGTCGGGGAATGTTGGGATTGGTGGAGGCAATGCGACAGACAGCCAGGGCATCGTACGTCGTATTACTTTTGCAAGCTTTTCTTTTTGAATATTGGTCCTCTCATAGGTTCATTAACTGAAGGCCCACGACAAATAGTGTACATTTTCTTTTATGGAGAAGCAGAACTTATGTGGATTGTCGAGCGCGTGACAATATCTGTACAGCCAGTAGACATGCTTGCAAGGGGCAGTTCGAGACGAACAAAAGAAAAATAAATGAAAAATTCAAAGAACGGGTAAAATAGGGAAAGGAAAAAGCGATGTTCTACAACATTGCGAATGTCTTCGTCCTCAGATATTCTGTATTCTGTACCAGGTATTCAAAGCTCGAACCACCGAGAGGCGGAAACACAGACACATTTTGCTTGGATTTATGTTCCCTGTCTCATCCCTGTCACCTCCAACTCTCCAATGGGCCTAACCCCCACACTATTTTGGCCTCTTTGCCTCCCAGCCGTTTGGAGCTTTTCGTGTTTTTTTTTTTGTTCCAAATGTGACAGGGATCCGATAGGATGGAGAAGATGACCACTGTCTCGTGTGCCTGAGCCTCCACTGGCCTCGAAGCGAGCCCATCTGCACCCGAAACCCCTCTTTCTACGAATTTGACTCTCAACGATATAATTTCCCCTTTTGACGTTTGCACTTTTTTTTTATAGATAGACATCCCCTTCTTGTCATATGGTAGGCAGATGTCGGCTACAGTTACGCGAACGGGCCGAGATGGAAATAGTGAACAGAAAAAACCACAGCAAGGTGTCAATGGTGGAGGATGACAGTGTTGTGCTGCTCTAGCTTTTGTTGCTCTGCACACATCTCACTCCGCATCTATCCCCATCCACTTTATGTTCACGCGTGATTCCTTGCAGTATCCATCCATTGTCTGACTGTTTGATTTTGACTCTTTTTTGTCGACACTCTTCGTGTGTGCCCAACTGTTACGACGCAAGTCGCGGCTATCCGATATTGGGTTACAACGGCCATCGAACACGACTCTGGCCGCCAACGACCAAGAGTCATGAAGAGGACAAAGAAGACAATCAGACGAGAACCACATTCACGCCTGGACCAGTCAACAATGTACATATGTCGATGCATCGATGTATGGGGAATGTGGTAATATTAGGCTCCTTCCTGCACGTCTCCGATCGACTTCGTATCAGGCCGAGTTTTGTTGTCCGACTTCCTTTTACATTTCCTGGCGGCTGTTTTTACTTCGTTCGTGGTGATACTACCCCCGACTTTTCTGACTTTTCTGTGTATCCTCGTTATGCTTCCTCCGGCTAAAGCTGGCCAGCTGCAGCTGTATTCGACAAACGTTTCTCCAATCCACCATGATGCCCGAGATCGACGCTGTCGACTTCCGTTTCCATCCTTCATCATGAATTCGGCCCTCCTTTTCTTGTGATCCTGCATCCTGCAAGCTTTGAAGGACTCGCTCTCAAAATAGGCATTGACTGCGGCTGCAATTTATCAAACGTGAAGGAGACGCTCTCGACATTAGTCTCTTGGTATTGCGGAAGCGCGTCTGACCAAGGCAGGACGCAACAACGCTGTGCATGAGACGCATTATCATATGTCACGACAAGCGTCTCGCACAACCCCTCTTTCTTTACGGGGCGCTGCCCCAGATTTTCGTTTCCCCACGTCCGGGAATGAAGAAGGTTGACTGATGTCCTTTTTCCCTTTCCATTTCCCGCCCCTCCACCATTGCATTTTTTACATTAACCACCCACGTATGTAGTAGATTTGTTACTTCCGCTCGAAAGACGCCGTTCAAGAGAGCTGATGGATTTCGTGGATTATGGAAGATGGGCGAGAAAGGAGGATGCGTCCGACGAACTAAGAGCAATCAATGGGTTCAAAGTTTGCGAATCTCGTGATGCTTATAACGTCCTTTTATTACTGCTGCGCCGCAGGTCCGCTTCAAATGGGGACACGACAACGCTTTGAAAAAAGGGTCACAGATTCCAGACTTCGCCAGATGGAAATAGTAACGGGTTTGCGCAGTCCAGGTGCATCCTACAAAGTGTCTCATTCAGGCCTCCTGACAAGGACCATACTCAATATATCCACATCCGGTGACACGATCGGATATCGACCGACCCAAGAAAATACCCTGTCTCTGTATGCTTTTCAGGCTGGCCTGGTCTCGGAGAAACCGCACACGAAGACAATAAACTGTTAACAGCTTCTCCCGATTATACCGACGAGAGTGGTGTCATGGCCATCTGTTCCTTATACCTGTCTCAGTTGCGTCCAGCGTGGTGCACTTCGAAAGGCACCATGTATCCGTAACTGCGCAGCCGCCTCTTCGCTACCTCCCATCCCTCATATTTTGCCTACTTCGTCCATTCCATTCCCTCTTGTGGACACCACTTGGGTTGGCATCCCCCTCATGCACGCAAGTGCACGCTTGTCCTGCACCCCGCAATCTGGACCTGCCCTCTTGACGCTACGACTTACGACGTACAAGGTACGAACTGCTGACGAGGGGTTCGCTATAGGCTTGGCTTCTGTCGTCGACAGGAGGGTCGTCGGGCCCCGAGGAGGGCTGCCTGAATATTGCCTAGGGGCGTGGATGTATCGCAATGCGCTGGCGTACTGATGATGGTTGCTTGGGTGGATATGAGGTGCGAGGGACGTAAGAGGAGCGAGAGGCGCGTGAGGATCATGAGGAGCTTCAAGTTGAGCCTTGTGGTTCGGACGTTGAGTGAGACTGCATACGCAAAAGTCAGTTCTCTCATAACGACGAGGACAACGCCCGGTTCAACCAAAACCTCATCCGATGCACTCCCACAACTAGCCAGACTGCACGCAACACGTGTTGGTTGCAGAAAGACATCACCAGACGTCGGCATCCACGCCTTTAGGGAAATGAAAGCGAACCCTGCAATGCATGAGAACCAAGACTTTCCCAAGAATGCTGTCCAACGAGAATGAACCGGTCAGCCGTGAACACACCGGTATATGTCGTTGTTCCCTTCTTGGGCATATCACAGGTCTCGTGGCTGCCACACAAGAACGGATGGGCCCGAGGCGCGGCATGGGCACGAAATATTGATATACTTTGTATTGAATGTACATTCGTTGCAGCGTGGTCGTGTCAAACAGGTTGCAATGTGTTCTTGTCATGGAGTACCTGCCTTAGACTCGATGGTATTGGTCGAGTTGGCTTGAGTGGCAAAGTGGCAAAGAGACGGGGCCAGGAAGGATAGCTGGAGGACATGGCGAGTCTCCGAGAAGCATGCGAGTGCTGGCTCCTCGCGTCAAACTCGAGAGACAGAGAGGGCTGCAGAGCATGGATGGCTCTCGACCATATCAGCGATTGAACCCCCGCCATGCACAACATCGACATGATCTTCGCGGGCGGCGTACATGTACAGTCGCATCACCTGCCTCTGATCCTGCATCTGTCGATCGGTAGGTGTGCCGTGAAAGTAAAAGCATAACACAGATTAGGAGCGAGCATGTATCCGACCTATGGTGGCGATCGTGGCTGGGATGACACTGAGATCGGAAGTCGATGGTGGTCACGCGACAGAGACACTGTGTCGGCAGACATTGTGTTGTTCGGAGATTTTGGCCACTTTAGACACTGGACGCTGGCCAGAGGTTTGCCTCAACGCACAGCCTGAGCCGAAGGGCCAGCGTGATAGAAGGGTGTGGGATTAGCAAAGCGGGCGGAGAGAGATGCCGCTGGCTGGTGCGGTTGCCGGATCCAGACGAAACAGCTTGGGGTGTAGGTCGGATGGTGGCTGGTGGTCAACACTAACGTCGATACACGGAAAGTGGCCAATGGTGGACTTGTCGATTGTCAAGCTGACATCCGAGGGATGAATGAGGGCTGCCCAAGGGAAGCGGTCGACGCTGATGAAGCTGTTTATGATAGCAGAAGTAAACATCTCGATCATCCCACGATGATCGACTTCACCTCCGTTTTGAACGGCGTCAACCAGCCCTCATGTCGCCGTCAAGGTCCCCAACTAGAATGCCAAAGAAAGCCATTTTCAAGGCTGGATGCTTCTTTCCCGAAATTTCCTGAGTATCCCCCACGGATGTTTGCCACGAACCACAACGCCAGAAGCTTGAGAAGGATGTGCCCTGGGCAAAGTACGTTGTCGACGCCACCAAGCCGCTCACTGCAGCGGCATGTGTCGCCCGCCTTTGACCTGGTTGGAATGTGCGTCTAGCCTTTTCGAGGTGGATTAAGGGAGGCTCACAGCTGTGTTAAAGATTCCTTGGCCTAGTTGCTCAGGGTGTGATGCGAGTACGGAAGAGTCGACTGTGATGATTTACATATGAAAAACGTGGGTAGCTTGGGTCTGGTCACGCCGGTGAGGTCTTCGGAAGAATGCAACCATTCAGGATGCGCGCGCACCTGCATACGGCGTCTTCGTCGGCGTGAAGTGACGATAATTTGCTTCTCGTGGGGGTGGACGACGAGAGAAAGGTTGGCAAATCAGAAAGGTGGCGAGAGAAGCAGAGACGGTTAAGGTGAGAATGGGGATCGTTGGAGAGAGTCATGCCCGCTCTTTCCTAAAATGGAAGACAGTCGAGAGTGTCCAAACAGGGGCAACGAAGACAAAAATGAAAAAGCGGAAAGGGCAAGAAGAGCATTTGGACAGACGGCACCAACGACTGGGCAGAAAAGATTGTAAAGTACAGAAAGAGCGACCGACCCAAAATATGACATGACAAAATACCCCTGAACATCAACCAAACTGCGACTTTTCTTCCTCTCCAATCAACCCAAGCCACCGACCTCTCGCAAAATTTTGTCCCTTTCTGGGATAGTTGCTGTTTGGCATTTTTTCGGCACTTTAATTTCTTGATTATCGTTTCCCTTGCACGATCAAGTACGGTGACGTGTGCCGGCATCGCAGGGCAGTCTGATTCTCATTACGTGGTCGAAACCACGCAACGGAAGACGACCTCTCCTCTTTTTTCTGCGCTGGGAGCATCTCCGACTGCGTTTCCGGTAATTACAAACGACTCTCGCGACAAGCGGCAAAGGCAATAATCCATGTAGTCCGTTGTCGGCCAGGACATCCCGATGTTGCATCACTTCTTCTGCCCTGCAGAAACTATTCGCAAAAGTGTCACTTCATATTCGATAACTAATACACTTTGGATCGGAAGTTTAGTGGGAAAGTTAGATTGCATTTACTGACTCGCAGGTATCCGAAACCCTGTGATTTTCAACATCTCTCACAAGACGGGCTTCAAAGGTGATCTTCATCAGAAATATGCGAGACCTTATCCCCTCACGAAAAACACAAAACTGATTCAAGCTGCATGACTACTTCTATACCGTTATGCTGTAGCTCTTGCCCAGCCGCTTCAACAAGTGCTGCTCTGCTGTCAGCACATCGCCGCCATCTAGCGGCGCACTGCCGTCCAACGGAGCCAGTTTTGTGTCGAGGTTGCCGTCGACGAAAAAGGGAATCGAGTAGCGGTCTATCGAGCCCCGGTTGATCACCCGGTGCACATTGCTCTTGTAGACGTTTTTGGTCCAGAGGCTCAGCATGTCGCCGACGTTGACCACGTACGCATCCGCGTTGGGCGCCACCGCCACCCAGTCACCCGTCGCTGCGTCCAGCACCTCGAGGCCGCCTGATCCGTCCTGGTAGAGAAGCGTCACGGCGCCAAAGTCGGTGTGTGCGCCGGCACCGAGCTGCCGGGCGTCCTCGCTGCGCTGTGGCGGGTAGTGCAGCAGGCGCAGGTTGCACACCGGGTCGTTGGCCACGAACTCGGTGAATACGTCGTCGCCGTAGGGCAGGCCGCGGGCCAGAACGGCGAGTACGGTGCGTGCCAGCTGCAGGACGGCCGTGTAGTATGCCTCGGCCGGCTCGCGCAACGTGGCCTCGTCAAAATTATCGGCGTCGCCGGGAAAGACATTGGCGCCCATGAGGAGCGGGTGCTTGTGGGCACGGGGATCGCCATACGGAATGTCTTGGCCAATAAAGAAACCCTCTTTCAGGTCGGGCAGGGCACCTTCCTGCAGCACTTGAGCGCCGATGAGTTCGTAGCCGCGGTTGAGCAGCGGCGACCCGGTTGGCGGCCGCAGTGTCTTTTTTGTCTCCAGCGGGAGGGCAAACAACTTGGCCGAAGCGGCGAGAAGTCTCTGCTGCAAGTCGCGAGGTACATTATGGCCGACGAGGGAGAAGAAGCCGGTGGTCATGCAGGCGGTGCGTACGTCGGCGACGACCTGGGCGGCGGCCTCGGACGTGGGATCCGCCAGGAACGGCGCAATATCGATGGTAGGGATATGGAAAGGCATTTTGTTTCGAGCCAACAATTGTGAAAGTTGTGCCCTTTCCCTTTGCCTATAAAATTGATTGACCTTCGCGGTCTTTTGTACCCAGTCGCGGAGGCGCTCGTGGTGGCCACCGCCGACGACACGTGCCGTTTTGGGAAGATAAGACTGCTTGTGACGCCGAACCTGCCCGTGCTAGTAGAGGCCTTGCGACCATTTTACGATGGCGTCGGGTGGTTGGCGTCTCGTTCACGTTCGTGCACAAGGCTCGATGTTGAAGATAAAACGACGTACAAGTAGCCTTATCCGTGTAAGACGGCCCCTCGCGGAGAGGCGACTACTGCAGCCAGCCAATAGCCGTGATGGCTTGGCGCTTATCAGTTTGCGGAGGCTGCCGATATTTCGCTGATTTCTCGGCTTTACATGTTCCCTTGAGACACTTGAATATTACACAGGTCGGATGCACCACCCGTGAAACCATTTGACGGTACTCATACAATTCTGCTATACAACGGCACGTTTACCGTACAACGATGAGTCGCCAGCACTCTGGCTGGACCGACAAATTGACTGAGTTGTGAGACACCAAACACCGAACGGCCTGCTACCGTTCCCTACCACCGTCGACTAGGCCTGTCGCTCTCACCCTGACGCTCCTTCTCTAGCATGGCGTCAAAGTCCTTTTGCGCCTGATTGCGCGCATACGACTTCTCCTCTTCGTCTTCGTTGAATGTGTAGTCACCCGTCGTCGGCCGGTTGCTGTTGTCCTGTTTGCTCGGAGGCTGTGGCGGCGATTTGCCCTTGCGCAACGCCTCCCAGCCGTACTGTCCCGGCGGCGCCTGCGAAATGGCCGTGGGCTTCTCACCCGCGTGTCCCGGTGAGCGCAGGCGGTCCCAGGCGGTGCCTTCGCCCGTCCCCGACGTCGGCTGCTGCTTCCAGCCGCTCCTGCGGCGCTGCTCGGCCGGTGACACGGGCGAAGCGTCGTCGTAAAAGTCGTCGTCGAGGTCGGTGCTATAGTCGTCGTAGCTTTGTGTCTGCGGTTGTTTCTGTTGCTGCTGCTGTGGCGGACTCTGGCATTGCTGGTATGGCTGGTACTGTTGCTGCTGTTGCTGCTGCTGCTGCTGCTGCTGCTCCTGGTCTGGAAGCACGCCGCGCTGCTGCGCTTCCCGATCCCGCCCGCGCCTCTCAAGAGCCTCGCGCGCCTCCGCCGTACGGCTTGCGGCGCGCTCTGTGACCTTGAGGATCGAATCTGGACCTCGTTTCGCAGCGAGCGCGGACTTGAGGCTTGTCCGCAAATCCGCCAACCGCGGGTCCCTGTCAAAGACGTACGAGTTGGCCACCGTGCCGTACGCAAAGAAGGCCGTGCGCAGTATAAAGTGCGACGCCGCAGCATACATACTGAAGCGGAACACGTGCCAGGCCGTCCGTGCCATCGGGCCCTCGATGAGGCGCGACGTCTTGGTCGGGAAGACATTGGGGTCGAACCCTTCTTTCGGCTTGTAAAAGGGGAAGCCAAACGTCGGCCGCGTGCGGCGTTCTAGAAATATGGAGGTGCCCAGCATCACGGGGAACTCGTAGGACATTGTCGTTGTCAGCCCGGCTGTCATGTTGGCGAGGATCTGCACCTCCTCCTGGCTGAGCATGCGCTGGGCACGCGAGCGCATGCCGATCACGGACATGGCAATCGTGGCGCGGTACCAGCTGTCGTCGTAGCCGACCAGCCTGCTATAAAACGGAAGCTTAGGCAGCTCGTCCCAGCGGATGGGGAGGTACTGCGAGAGCGCAGCGGCCTCCTTGACGGATTTGACGTGGATGCTGCCGAGAGCGTTGGGGTCGGCATTGAGGTCGACGGGTCCCTCTCCGCTGCGGTTGTTGGCCATTGTGGGTGGGAGTGACCGTAGCTGGAGACTAGCCAGCCGTTTCGAATTGAGTTGGAAGAGGTGCTGGTGGTGAGTGTGAGAGGAGTTGGCGTCGAATGCGCACGCAGGTGTTGAAGCTGAGAAACAAGTGGCGATCACTAAAGAGCTCTAAAAAGCTGGCATTAGCTAGTGGGGTGATGAGATCATTCCCGTCCAGCTACCTGCTCCGGCAAAAGCATTTCGCATCACGTGTATACGCGCCACAAGCACCAGCCACGGTCACACAACGGCTGTCAATGTCTGTGTCAGGAAGACCCACCGCGACATCGACGCGTTGTGGGGTACGACAAACAGCTCCCTAGCAACACGGACGCGTCGAACCGCGTTCCACGGTCGATGTATATTTGTACGGCAAAATGCACACGGCCGCACAATCCACACAGTCGCAGCCCACACGATCACACCGTGGGCGAATAGCAGACGCCATGCTGCATCCACCACAACACGCACTACCGCCTGCCGACCTCACACGGCCCACCAATCCAGCCTCCCGTCCGAGGGATGGCCACTGTTGCGTGTTTTATCCAATGCTACCTGGCGAGTCCGCTGCTTTGTCCAGCGAGCTTTGTTGCCATACATGAACAGACCATATGTGAGTGGATTGGCTTGAGATTCAACTGGGCGACACACGCATCGGGGAGTAGACTAACCGACAGAAACACTACGGCAACCGGCCATGGAATCGAATCTCGCACGCTCCACGGCCGAATCCTCCTCCATATCCTCCGCCTTTGCCACCGCCACCTCCGCCGCCCATTGAGGTGTCCGAGACGACCAAGATCAAGCTGAAGAAGTTCCAGTTTCGTGAGAAGAAAAACAAGACGGCGAAAGCGAAGAAGGCTGCAGAGAAGTCTGTCGACGTCGACAAGTCCGTCATCAACGCAGCCAACACGAAAGGAGGCCCCGTGCAGGCAGTCGAGGTTGACGAGATCCAAGCTGCTGCAATGGCACCAGCTACGGCCTCGAAGAAGGCCAGCCAAAAGACAGGCCAGCGAGATAGCCAGCGAGACAGCCGGAAGGGGAGCCAGCCGCGACAAGCAAGCCAAACAAAACCCAGCTCGATACGACCAGGAGACGCGGCATCGATAGCAACATCCGCACCGCCACACTTGGACAAGGAAAACGACATTGCAAAAGATGACAAGGATGCTACGACCAACGGGGCCACGGCCTCAGCCACCGGCGACCTCCCCAGCACACAGCCGAGCAAAATCACGCCCACGGTTGCTGCCACGCCCGAGTTCTTGAGCATCCACGTCCGCACACCCCGGGCGCGCTTTGCTTGGCAGGAGCTCGTCGGCACGCCCGACACCCCCAAGATCCGCGAGTCTCTCGGCATCTCGCCCGACGCCAAGCTGTCCTGGTTGACCGGCCAGAATCATGATCCCTCTCCTGTCGCTGCCGCCGTCGCTGCCGCCAAGCAGAAACAGGGCACCAAGCGTCCGCGCAGCTGCAGCCCGCCCTCGTCGCCCACCAACTCACGCTCCAAAAGGGTCGCCGAGAATGTGCAAAAGTTCAAAGAGGTGATGGCTTCGGCCACGGCGGCCAACCTGGCACTCGAGGACCGCTTCCCGCGGAAACACAACGGGCTGGCACGGCACCGGACCGAGGTCGGGCGGTCGACTGTGCGTAGCTTGGCCCCGGGGGCCGACTCGTCGGGAATTGGGCTGGAACGGCAGGCCAACCTGCCTGCAGCAAACGGACCATCACCACGAACTGCGGCCGGCTTGAGACGCTCCATGAGCTGTAACACGACGTTGACGACACCGACAACAAAGCGGCGAAAGACAGACGGCAACGACCTGGTTGCTGCACCAAGCCCACACGAGACGATACCACAGCCACGGCAACCATCCGTACCACAAGAATCACGCCCACTAAGCCGGCAACAAGCATCAGCACCACCTCCTTCATCACGGCAAGAAGAGACACTGGTAGAAGACGAGCTGGCAGACCAGGTTGATACGGTCGATATGGTCGACGCAGAGCCACCTGTTCGGCCTGCCTCACCCGTGTCTCTTCACCGGCTATCCCTCACCGTCAACGACAAGTCTTTTCGAGAGAAAGATCCCAGTATACCAGATACAGAGTCCAACGGCAAGCCTGCCACCACTGAACCAACAGAAACAACGGACGCAACAGAAATGACAAAAATGACAGAAACCAAGACCAAAGACCACGTGTCCGACTACGGCGACGATGTCTTTGACGACTTTGACGACCTTGATGACAACCTCTTTGACGACGACATGCTGGCCGAGATCGATGCTAGTCTGGCGCCCCCGAAGCGATCCGACACGGAAACGAATGTGGTTGCCGCAAGAATGGCCGATGCCGGTGCTGAGGACGAGTTTGGCGACCTGGGCGACGGCCTCGATGACGACGTATTTACCGCGGTGACCGCTGCAGAGAACTCTACCACCAAGAAGAACCAACAGCAACAACCCATTGACCTCACAAGCTCAATACCCCGGGCCGACGACACCGTCGACACCAATGCCGCCTACACCAAGCCGGCGCCTGCCGCTGCGCCTGCAGCCCAACCAGGAGTGGCTGACATGGAGGACATGTATGGCGGCGACGACTTTGGGGAAGACTTTGATTTCGAGGCCGCTGAACTTGCTGCCACCCAAGCAGCCAGCCGTGCCGGCCCAGCGTCCACAGCCTTTACGCCCTGGGCCAATACACAAAGCGTATGATGCCACCCTCATAGAATGGCCCGATAGAGTATATGGATATGATGGAATGACTGTTTTGGTTCTTTCTTGTGTCCTGTATACTAAGACCTGTCTCTCTCTCTCTTTGTAGTCCAGCCACAAGCGCAAGGCCATTCAGCGATATCTCGTAACCAACGTGCTTATTTCGTCGTACCATGACGAGCGAGAGAGGCTATGCCAAGAAAAGGTAGCCGGCCTTGCTGCAACACCTGAAAACCCTACTTGCGTCCTCCGACCCGCACTGACACTTGCAGATACTCGTTGTGCAGGCAGACGGTGACCGGTCAGGCTCGATGCGCGCCGTGCATCTGCGCGGCGACTGGTTTGACACACCGGCCGCCGTCAAGGCCTACGTCCATGTCCTTGGCGAGTTTGACGCGACCGGCATGTGCGTCGTCGACAACGACCACGGCATGCTCATCCTGCACCCGGACCAGCTTGTTTCTGCGACCAACGTTGCCGAATCCTTTGACTGCACGCGTCGTGCCGTCCTCAAGGACCGCGTCAAGTCGGCCAGCGACGCCAGCCCGCCCCTCGTCTACGGCACGCTGCTGCACGAGATCTTCCAGGAGGCACTCATGAGCAACCAGTGGACCGGTCCCTTTGTACGCACTACCATCGACTCCGCCATCCAAAAGCACCTCGAGGATCTCTACATTGTCAAGCTTGATGTGCCCACGGCCCGCGAGTATCTCTTAACCCGCACCCGCGAGCTGCAGTGCTGGGCCGAGCTCTTTGTGGCACCGAAGCCAAAGGTACGTCATGCCTGTGCCTGTGTGAATGTGAGGGACATACGGCGCGGAAATTGGTTAAGAGACCAATCTAACTCTTTGACAGCCCGGTGCAAATGCTGCAGGCCGCAATGGTGAAAAAGTCAACATGTGTGTGAGCAAGTTGCTAGATGTCGAGGAACACGTCTGGTCGCCCATGTACGGCCTCAAGGGCAACATCGATGCCACGGTCCAAGTCACCATGAACGTCGGCAGCGACAGCAAGACTCTCACGGTGCCCTTTGAGCTCAAGACGGGCCGCAACGCCACGGCGGCGCACCAGGCACAGACCGTGCTGTACAACCTGCTGCTGTCCGACCGCTATGACATTGAGATTGTGTACGGCATTCTTTACTATACGGAAAACTCGCAGATGATGCGCATCCCGGCCATCCGCAACGAACTGCGCCACATGATTATGAAGCGCAACGAGCTTGCCTGCCACACCCGCGAGAGCAGCGTCCAGTTGCCGGACATGCTGCGCAATCGCAACGCCTGCGGCCGTTGTTTCGCCCAGACCTCGTGCTTCGTCTACCACAAGCTCGCCGACGAAGGCACGGCCGAGACCAGCGGCATGGGGGACAAGTTCAACGAGATTGTCGGCCACCTCACGCCGAAGCACCGCGACTTCTTCTTGAAGTGGGACGACCTGCTCACCAAAGAGGAAATGGTCGGCCTCAAGGTCCGCCGCGAGCTGTGGACCATGGTCAGCGCCGAGCGCGAGAAGCTCGGGCGCTGCTTTGCCGACGTCATCATTGAGCAGGGCTCCGCGTACGAGGAGGCCGGCAGCAGCAAGGTCAACCGGTTCCACTACACATTGGTCAAGGAGCACCCGACGCCGGGCTTTTCGTTTATGGACTCGCAGCTGGCCGTCGGTGACCCCATTGTCGTGTCGGACGAGGACGGCCACTTTGCGCTCGCCATTGGGTTTGTCATGGCCATTCGCAAGCAGCGCATGGACGTCGCCGTCGACCGCCGCCTACACAGCGCCCGCATCCGTGAAGACGGCTTCAACGAGAAGACGAACCAAGTCTTTGCGGGGATCATGGAGGCGGGCGCCGGGCCAAGGAAGCGAATCGGTATCGAGGAGAACTATGGCGGGCGCTCGCGGCTGGGCGACGACCACAACGGCAGCCACAATGCCCATGCCGTCCGCTACCGCGTGGACAAGGACGAGTTCAGCCAAGGCATGTCCACCGTGCGCAACAACATTGTGCAGATCATGGCGGGCCACCGCGTCGGCCTGCGCGAGATTCGCCAGCTCGTTGTCGACCTCGTTCCGCCGCGCTTCAAAGCGGCCCCGACACAGTACGTGCTGGACGACGGCGACGGCACCGATGCGCTCAACGTTGACCAGAAGCGCGCCATAGCCAAGGTCATGAGCGCCCAGGACTACGCCCTCGTGCTGGGCATGCCGGGCACGGGCAAGACGACGACGATTGCACACATTATACGCGCGCTCGTCAGCCAGGGCAAGAGCGTGCTGCTGACCTCGTACACGCACACGGCCGTCGACAACATCTTGCTGAAACTGCGCCACGCGCAGACGCCCATCCTGCGCCTCGGCGCCCCGTCCAAGGTGCACCCCGACGTGCGCGACTTTGCCATCCTGGCAGCCGAGCCCAAGGCGAGCCTCGAAGACATCCGCGCGGCGTGGCACGACACGCCGATCGTGGCGACGTCGTGCCTGGGTATTGGGCATGCCCTCTTCAACGAGCGCATGTTCGACTACTGCATTGTCGACGAGGCCAGCCAGATTACGCTGCCCATCTGCTTGGGCCCCATCCGCATGGCGCGCACGTTTGTGCTCGTGGGCGACCACAACCAGCTGCCACCGCTGGTGCAGAACGAGGAGGCGCGCGTGGGCGGGCTGGACATTTCGCTGTTCAAGCTGCTGTCGGACACGCACCCCGACTCGGTGGTGAATCTGGAGCACCAGTACCGCATGAGCGAAGACATTATGGCGCTGAGCAACACGCTCATCTACCAGGGGCGCCTCAAGTGCGGCACCGAGGCGCTGCGGACGCGCACCCTGCATGTGCCCGACATGGCGCGCCTGCACCAGCACCATCACAACGCCCGCTCCATGGCGCGCCTGACGCCCGGCAGCAGCTTTTGCACCATGGGCGGCAGCAGCGCGGCCTGCTGGCTGCGCGATCTCGTGCGGCCGGAGACGCGCGTGGCCTTTGTCAACACGGATTCGATCGACGGCAGCCGCGAAGAGGCCAAGGGCAACCGCATTGTCAACCCGTGCGAGGCGCGCCTGGTGACGCAACTCGTCGAGGCGCTGCTGACGGTCGGGATCCCTGCGTCGGAGATTGGTGTGATGACGCACTACCGCTCGCAGCTGGCCCTGCTGAAGCACCAGCTGCGCGGCGTCAAGGCCAGGGGCAGCGACATTGAAATGCACACGGCCGACCGGTTCCAGGGCCGCGACAAGGAGGTCATTGTCCTCTCGCTCGTGCGCAGCAACGAGTCCTGCAGCATCGGCGATCTGCTCAAGGACTGGCGCCGCGTCAATGTGGCGTTTACGCGGGCCAAGACCAAGCTGCTGGTCGTCGGCAGCCGCAGCACGCTCCAGGGCACTGGTCGCGTGGAGAGGGACAAAAAGGATAAAAAGGAGCGGATGGACAGAGACTTGCACAATGGCGAGACCGGCGAGGAGATGCTGGCGCGCTTTGTGCGTCTGATGGAAGAGCGCCGCTGGATCTACGACCTGCCTGCCGACGCGCTCGACAACCACCTGTTTGAAGAGCTGCCGGCGACCCAGGCGGCATCGGCCTCTCTGGATGCGTCCCTTGGAGCCGAGAAGGGCATGATGGGCTATGGCGGCGGCGCGCGCTTCCCCGGCAAGGACGACAACTACATCCAGACGACGCGGTCTATGCCGCCGCACCCTGTGGCGCGGATACAAGCGCAGAAACCGTTCAAAAAGGTCGGTCCGGCGACCGCAAAATCACCAAGTCGCCAGGGCATCGTTCCGTCCGCCGGCAAAGAAAACGCCCGACCAGGGCTTCTGCAGCCCGGCAAGCGGGTCGGTAGGGATAAAGAGGCCCTGCTGAAAGGACGGCCCGTGCTGCAGGGCATTCTGAATGACATGATGGGCGGAAAGCATCCGACATAATTGGGATGGGTGCTGTATTGTGTGTTGTGTCTTTTTTTTCTTTTTTATTTCTTCTTGACAAAGGAAACAAATCATGGACAGAAGCATCAAACGGACGGGTCAGCATAGCACAGGATTGGATGGCGTTCATTTGTCGGTTTTGAGTATGTGTATTCACTCTGGATTAGCTTTATTTTGGAAAACAAGGCCATATGTTGACAAAACCGCTGTAAAGATGCATGCTGCTTCCGTGTCGATTGAGTAGAGTGCTTAAAGCCGCTGTAACGAGACTCCACTGATCGCGCCGAAAGGCATTACGACGTCGTACAAGACTGGCCCAGTTCTTGAGTCATTTGTGAACGTCACAGTGTCGTGTATCATTTTGAGCTCATAATTAACTATATACAATTTTGTAGTGTCTTCCCTTAGGACTGAAGTGCCAATTTCGTTGAATCGTAAGCGTAACATTTTGGGTCAAAAACAGCCAAGAAATCAAACATGTGTTTGCGGGTTGAGCATCTTTTCTCATCATTCATGCGGTCTGTGATGCTGCTGTCTGCGCCGCAGTCTCTGCCGTAGCCACGACTGCAGCCGCTGTGGTTGTTGCGATCACGGCCGCCGCGGCCGCGGCCTCGGCTCTCTGCTGCCGTATAGCGGTACTGCTGATCTTGGAGTCAAAGTTCTCGGCGACTGCGGTTGCTTCCCTTCCGGACGCCGACTCGCCGGCCGCAGCGGCCATCTCGGCCACGGCCTCGTCCGCACTCAGCACGTCCACCACAAACGTCTCCAGCGGCAGCCAGCCCCGCGCTGCGCGCTTCTCGTTGACGGCCCGGCCGCCCGACCGCGTCTCGCCCGACACCACGAGGCTCGTAATGTCCTGCCGTTCCACCGTCGGCCCAAACGCGTCGTGGATGCGCACACACTGCACAACAATGGCCTCGTTGCGGAAGGTGGCCGTGAAGTCGCCGTCCTTTTCGTCAATCTCGGGGCCAATCTTCTCCTCCCAGCCGTCGCGTGACAGGTTCAAGACGGTCGCCAAGAAGTTGATGACGTTGCGCGCGCGCTCGTCCCACGGCTGCACGTACTCGGCGAACTTTTTGTTCTTGAGCAGCTCGTCGCCCGTGACGCCGATGATGTACTCGCACGGTCCGCTCGACATGGGCAGCGGAACGTCCAGCAGCAGTGCGCCGGCCGTCAAGAGCAGCTTGTGCCCCGGGTGCAGGTAGTCAAACGTCCCGCCGAGGCACACCGTCTTGTGCAGGGGCGTGGGGATGTGGATAATGTGCGACGGTGTGATGGTGCCCGACGTGAGGCCGGACGACGTCCCCGTCCGCGTCGTGGTGGCGCCAACACGTAGCGTCAGGCCGCCGTCCACCGGAACAACCTGGTCGTCGGTCGTCTTGTGCACCAGCTGTGCAAACTTGAGGTACAGGTTGCTCAAGTGCAGGCCGGCCTCGCTTTGCGGGTAGAAAATCTTGTTCCAGGGGTGATACGCCGAGGCGAACGAGGGAAGGTCCACGAGCACCGTGTTGTTCGGCTCAATGATGGGCATGTATTCGGGGAACCGCCGCTCGCGGTCGTGGTCCAGCAGCACCACGCGCGTGTCCACCGAGCCAGGCCCGCCGTCCACGTCGGTCCCAATGTGCAGCTTCTCGCACAGCACGGCCACGATTTTGTACAGGCCGGCCAGAAGCGACTGGGCATCCGGCCAGGCGAACCGCTTGCTGTCTTGCGAGGGCCCGCCCACGAACGGAAAGGCGACGGCGACGATGAGCGTGGTCGCCCGGGCGGCGCTCTTGGTCTTGGCCAGGGCCATCTCGAGCGGCGGCCGGTACGCGGCGCCCAGAGCAGCCTGGCTGGCCGGCTCGGGTGGCGACGGCAGTAGCAGCAGCGACGGAAGGTTGCTGTGCGCCATGGCGGCGGTACTAGTTGCACTGTGTCGCGGTAGCGATGAAATGTCAATGACGAGGGTATATGACAAGTGACGATGTACTACTGGAAGCAGTCCAACCTCTAGCAAGTCGGAGAACAATGGAATGAGCGACTGCCAAGGGTCAAATCGTGGCAGAGTGTGCAGCGCACGCGCCACAATAACCACCGACGGTATGCAGTGGCTGCTCAGCGCTTGTTTGGATGTCCTTTCTTGTCGTTTCTTGGCTGCGTTGCCCTTCTGACATCTCGTCTCGCGTTGCTGCGGGATGAGGCGTGATGCTTCGGGCTGTCTCTGGCCTCGTGCTGCTTGCTCGTCGATGATCGACAACGGAGGTCGGACTGAGTGGGTACGCAGGGGTGTCTATGACGGGGTTAGCTCGCACTCTGTCTGTTGTTAGTTGGATAGTCGTTGGATTGGCTGCATTTGGTTGGTTCGATTTGCCGGCTTTGGAGGTGTCAGCCCACGCAACACACAGGTCACTGCTGGTATGTTGCAGATGGAAACCAGAAACGCAAGATCTGATCGACTCGCATTTCACAGACAGGATGTATTTCGTGTGTTCAGAAAACACCAAACCTGCTCCTCGCCTCTTCCTTTCTAACCCTTGTTTATATGTGTAGAGACTGCCTGAGGCAGAAGTCGTTCGCTTCACACGTGACCATCCGCGCTGGCAATGTAACTGATCTGATTCGCTGGAGCCGACATCACGTGTGGGTCAAGATTGACACGTCCGGCCCGACATTGGTTCCGAAGATTCCCGCGAGCAGGAGCACTTCGTACCTGCCCCCTCAGCACTACAGAGCCTGAGAGCCAGGAACATAGCGGTTTTTTCGAGCACCGCCAAAAGTGACTACCTCGCCTCGTTGGTTTCTCCTCTTCTTCGGCAAAGCAGAGCCATCTGAGCGTCCACCATCCCTTCACGGCTACGTCCCCTTTGCCAACGACGCAACACCACACCCTCCCCGCGCTGCAGTCATTCAATTGACCGCCTTGCATACCATCTCCGCTCCTTCGTTGTTGTTTGACATTTTCCGACGCCTCAATCCGGCTCACCGACACCGGAAAAGCGAAAAACCCTCATCACCTCACTTTGAACCCCATCGACGCCGGCAGCACACACGGTCTGACCATTGACGGCAAAACAGCGTCTCCGAGTTCATTCGTTCTGAAACCGCTTCGACACACACATACATAGACCATGTCGTTCGCAGCCGGCGCGGCCAAGCGCGCCGTCGCTTCCACAGCTTCTGGAACAGCACGGCGGACGTTTGCCAGCACGGCCCGGCGACCGGGCGGCCACGGCTCGCAGTACGACCCGCCGGGCGGGTGGCTGTTTGGCGTCAAGCCGGGCGAGAAGTACAAGAACGAGGGGTGGGAGAAGCCCATGTTCTGGGGCTTTTGCGGTAGCCTGCTGGTGTTTGCATGCATCGTGCCCTTCAAGCCGGACACCTCGTATGTATCCCGGCCCTCGATACGTACGCAATGCGAGCGACACGCTAACCCTTTTGCTAGGATACAAACCTGGGCGCTCGAGGAGGCGCGGCGGCGGTTAGAGGCCGAGGGCATCCTGCAGGACCCGTTCCCGCGGGCCAAGTAAAAGCCTGCAAAGAGGAACGGTGAAGACGGACGTGACACCGCCCGGGGCGACTGTGAACTGCGAGGCGGTTACGATGCGGCTCGCGACGACAACCGATAACCAAACATCAAAAACAAAGACTTTAGAACCTGCTTTTCGTTTTCCACACCGACCAACCATTTTAGAGGAGGACAATAGGGCCATTGGAACAGGACAGGCAAAGGGCAAGGGGAAAGACGACGAATGAGATTAGATTTGCTCTTACCGTATCTTACTCTCTTTCTCTCTCTCTACCTTTCTCATCCCTCGGAGGCATCTTTGCATATTTATGCTTTTCTTCTTTCTGTTGTTATTTCTGGTCGGAAAGAGACGTGGCCATCGACAGTGGATGGCTGCCAACGTGTGTATATTTGACGTTTCATGTTGTCTTTTATCATCTCATTTACATTTCGCATTCACAACATGGCCATCAATGTCAACTGTGCGCGCTGTGCATTGTCAACCGTGTTTATATCTCGATCATGCTCTCTCGCCGACGTAGCCACAATTGGGTGAGACACGACCATGCTTATGCCGTGTTACTCCATGTCCCCGCGGTGGGCTATTTCTGTTCTGTCGACTACACCCTTAAAACAGTCTTCACCCAGGGAGACTTGTCTTTACATTCATCATGTACTAAATTTTCATTCTCTATCAACGTGGCTGTGAACGCTATAAAATGATCATCCCAACACATCGCATCGCCACCAACCAGGCTCGCACTACTCGCACAGGTAGCTCCACTCGTGCTCCTCCTCGCCGTACTGGATGCCCTCGATCCAGTTCTTCATGCGCGTGGTCACGGCGCCCGACTCCTCGTGGTCCTTGAGGCCGCAGTCGACCAGCTGGCCGTGCCAGCTGATGGACCGCACCGGGCTCACAATGGCCGCCGTGCCCGCGCCAAAGGCCTCAATCAGGCGGCCCTCGGCCGACGCCGTCGCCAGCTCCTGCATCGTGTACTTGCGCTCCGAGACGGTCCAGCCCTCGGGCTGCAGGCGCTCGCGCGCCAGCGCCAGCACCGAGTCGCGTGTCACGCCCTCCAGGATGGTGCCGTCCAGCGGCGCCGTCACGAGCTCCTTGGCGCCCGTCTCCTTGTTGCGCAGCGCCACGAAAAAGTTCATGGTGCCGACCTCGGTGATGTACTCCTCCTCGCCAAACAGCCACAGGTTCTGCTGGAAGCCGCGGCTCATGGCCTCGCGCTGCGGCACAATGCACGGCGCGTAGTTGGCGCCCAGCTTCTTGTCGCCGACGCCGCCGGGCCACGCGCGCACGGCATAGTCGGTCGCCTCGAGCGAGATGGCCTTGAAGCCCGTCGGGTAGTAGGGCCCGACGGGCGAGGCAATCAAGTAGAGCAGGGCGGAGCCGGGCGGGCCGACACCGAGCGTCTTTTGCGTGCCGATCAATGTCGGGCGCAGGTACAGCGAGTAGCCGCGCTCGGCCGGGATGAAGCGCGACTCCAGCTTGGCGTAGCGGGCAATCAGCTCGATCAGCGCCGTCGGCGAGAAGGTGGGCAGGGCGATGCGCGCGGCCGACTTGTTGAAGCGCTCCATGTTCTTGTCCGGCCGGAAGAGGCGGATGCGGCCCTGGCTGTCCTTGTAGGCCTTCATGCCCTCGAAGCACTCAAAGGCGTAGTGGAACACACACGTGGCCGGGTCGAGCGACAGGTTCTGGTACGGCGTGATCTGCGGCGCCAGCCAGCCGTCGTCCTTGTTCCACTCCATCGTGAGCATGTGGTCGGAAAAGGCACGACCGAACACGAGGTCCTCGGGCTTTTCGAGCTGACCAGGCGTCGTGGTCTCGGTGATGGTGAGGCTGGCCGGGTTCACATCTTGCGGCTGCGAGGTCGAGGCTGCAGACGGCTTGAAGCTGTACGGTCTCTGCTGAAGGAGAAGTGGAAACGGCCGGGCGGCGGTGCGGGAGAGTAATGGCCGAGCTGAGGACGACGAGGCGGCAGAGATGGACGCCGAGGCGCGGCCAAGCCGGCGAAGTGCTGGACGCATCATTGTGAATGTGAAGAGGAGGGAGGAGAGGAAATGGCAAGAGGGGAGATGGTCTGAAAGAGCCCGGAGCGTCTGAGGTCCTGTGGTCTGGGAGAGACGGTCGGAGACGAAACAAATGTGAGAGACGACGTGGGGAAGTTAATATACGAAAAAAAAAAAAGGAAAAAAAAACGAAAGTAGAGCAGCCAAGAAACTCGGTCTAAGAATGAGTCGACTGCAATTGATCCGCAACAAGCCGTCTGAGACCGAAGGCACGAGCAAGAGATACCAGATTGAGGGGGAGTCAGAGGGGGCCTGGCGTTCGGAGCAACATATCTCGCCCCGAATGTTCTGTGTGCGGATTTTTGCGCTTCCTTTTCTCACGCCTTTCGATTCTTCCCCACCGTTTGAGCGGCCATCGGAGCCTGATCGGAGTCATACAGGGGACCAGTGCGCCGGTTCAGGGCAGTCAGGGGTCTAGGCGCTTGTCGGACTTATGGTCACGTGCGTCATCACGTGGAACTAAACAGGCGGCACGGCGAGACACGGCAAGGCGCATCAAGCACTGCTCATAGCGAAGAAAGAAGGGACTTGGAGCTGGTAGCATTGTTCTTGCGATTTTATAAAGGTCTGCTTCAGATTCTTCGTTCTCTCGTTCCAGAGAACTGTGCACATTCAACGCCAACGCTGTCGACGACCTAGACACGCACCCAAATTAGGTAGCAGCGTTTCTGCCATGCTCCTTCCCTAATTCGACCCACTAGCACGTTCGCACCTTACGCTTTCGTCCCGTCTCCAGATCCACAGTTTCATCAGCTCCTCCAACCTCAACGTTGCTCTTTGAACTTTTGCATTTTCAACGCGTAACCTCACGCCTCGAGCTCCCCCGACACATACTCCGCCGTGCCGCCGCAAGCCTTCGTACTTTCGTTCTCCCAGTGGCCCTCTGTCGTTCTCGAACAACAATTGCCTCTCCCGTCGCACTCCACACAGCCGAGAGCCTAACCCCTGTCCTCCATATCATCCGAGCTTCGATCGACATTTCGACGTTCGTCTTCGATTGCCGTCGTCGGACCACAACGACGGCCGCACTCTAGCTCGCAAGCTACCCTGATTGATCCAGACCATCGCACACGATACGTTCCCGACATTTCCAGCTCCTCCTCCGATCGGCCCCCGTCATGACGGGCCCGCACGTCGACTGCGCCGTATCATAACATCTCTACTCTGATTTGCATCCCCTTCTTTAGTAGACGACTCACATAGACACACGAACACGCAAAACACACTCACAGCCGCAATGTTCACCTCGGCCTTCAAGTCGATCTCGTCGACAATCAACAGCGGCTATACCGTCGCTGCCACGCCCACTTCGGCCGCCGGCCCGTGGAAGATCTACGATGCCAAGAAAAAGTCAACGGGCAAGGCCTACTCGGTCTTTGTCTTTGACCGCAAGTCCCTCGACGCACACGCCAGCTCGCTTGGCCGCTCGGGGGCCGCCGCTTTCAAGAAGGCGGCCGACGAGGTGGTCGAGCGACTGAAACGAGAAGCGTCTTCGCTCGCGCGTTTACGGCACCCAAGCATCCTGGAGCTGGTCGAGCCCGTCGAGGACACGCGCGGCGGCGGGCTGCAATTCGCCACCGAGGCCGTGACAGCGTCGCTGACCAGCCTGCTGCAAGAAAAGGACGAGCAGGAGGGCGCACACGGCAGCAGCGGGCGGTCCCGCGCCAGCCGGTACGTCACAGAAGACGCCGACGGCGTGCGGCGGCGGCGCGAAATCGAGATTGACGAGCTCGAGATCCAAAAGGGCCTGCTGCAGCTGGGCAAGGCACTCGAATTCTTGCACGAAAACGCCGGGCTCGTGCACGGCAACCTGACGCCCGACGCCGTGCTGGTCAACGCCAAGTCGGACTGGAAGATCAGCGGGCTGGCGTTTTGCGGGCCGGCCGAGATTGGCGCCGCAGGGCCGTCGGCGTCGTTTCCGCCCGTCAGCGTGCACGAGATCCTCAACATGGATGCTCGGCTGCCCAAGTCGGTCCAGCTGAACCTCGACTACGCATCGCCCGACCTCGTGCTCGACAACAACCTGACGCCCTCGGCCGACATGTTCTCGCTGGGCCTGTTGTGCGTCGCGCTCTACAACTCGCCGCACCGTTCACCCATCGAGGCGCACGCGAGTGTCTCCTCGTACAAGCGCGCCTTCGCGTCTGCGGGCGGTGTGCCCTCCAATACCAACAACTACCTGTCGTCACGACCGCTGCCACGCGAGCTGGCTGTGCACGTGCTGCCGCGCCTGATTGCACGGCGACCCGCGCAGCGTCTCACGGCAAAGGAGTTCCAGACGAGCGAGTACTTTGACAACATCCTGGTGTCGACCATTCGGTTCCTGGACGCCTTTCCGGCCAAGACGCACGGTGAAAAGTCGTCGTTTATGCGCGGGCTCAACAAGGTGCTGCCGTCGTTCCCCAAGTCGGTCATGGAAAAGAAGGTGCTGCCTGCTCTGCTCGACGAGATGAAGGACCGCGAGCTGGCGCCGCAGATTTTGCAGAATGTGTTTAGGATTGTGGAGCTGCTGCCGTCGGCCAAGCGCGTCTTTTCCGACCGCGTGCTGCCGTGTCTCAAGGAGCACTTTTTGGTGCCTGGAGCAGCGGCGGCGACCGCCAACCACAAGAACACGCCGCAAGAGCGCGACCCGTCGCGCGATGCAAGCCTCATGGTCGTGCTGGACCGGCTGGTGATCATCACAGACAACACGACCGGCAAGGAATTCAAAGACGACGTCTTGCCCATCGTCGCGACGGCACTCGACTCGCCCACGCCGGCGGTTGTTGACGCGGCGCTGCGCAGTGTGCCGGCCATGCTCCCCGTGCTTGACTTTAGCACGATCAAGCACGAGCTGTTCCCCGTCGTGGCTGCCATCTTTAGCAAAACGAGCAGCCTGGCTATTAAAATCCGCGGTCTGCAGGCATTTGTCATTCTGTGTGGCGGCTCGCCCGACAGCACAGAGCTGGGCGGAGGCGACGGCCTCGACGGACTGAGCAGCAGCGAGTCCAAGCGCGGCACGTCCACGTCGACGGCGCTCGACAAGTACACCATGCAGGAAAAGATTGTGCCACTGATCAAGGGCATCAAGACCAAAGAGCCCGCTGTGATGATGGAGGCGCTGAACGTCTTGCGTGTCGTTGGGGGCATCGTCGACGCCGACTTTGTCGCGTTTGAGCTCTTGCCTGTGCTGTGGACCATGAGCCTGGGCCCGCTCTTGAACCTGAAGCAGTTCCAGGCGTTTATGAAGCTGATCAAGACGCTGTCGTCACGCGTCGAGGACGAGCAGGTGCGCAAGCTGCAGGAACTGTCAGGCGCCGACGCGGCTGCCGCCCACTCCTCTTTGAATGGAAACGCTGCCCTCATGGACGAATTTTCGTCGTTTGGTGCCGGGATCGGCGGTTCCGCCTTTGATGTCGGGGGTGGCAGCGGCGGCGGCGGCGGCGGCGGCGGCGATGTGGAAGACGACTTTGAGCGGCTGGTCAAGGGCAAGACAGGTGGCGGCGGCCTGGGTGGCGATGCTTTGATGGACGGCGGCTGGGACGCGACACCAGCAGCGAGCGCCAGACGACTGTCGCCGAACCTCGGCGGTAACCGAAGCACGACACCACGGGCCACTGCGTCGGCCGCTGCCTCCGCAGCACCCGCGTTTTCGTGGTCCACACCCACGCCGACGCCGACAACAGCACAAGCACCACCAGCCCCAAAACCACAACAGCAGCCGGCGTTCCGCACCGTGACGCCGGACCTCAATAGCTTTGCTGCCATGACGCCCTCGTCGACACAGTTCTCGACAGCGCTGCCGGCCCGGCCCATGAACCCAACCACGACCTCGGCGGGCAGCACGGCCGTCAGCAGTGCATCCGCATGGTCGGCCATGACGCCGTCGCTGCCCACCACGACGTCACCTCCTGCTACGACGAGCGGTATCAACTGGGGCGCCGGCAGTGGCAGCGGCAGTATGAACAGTGGCAACGCATGGAGCTCACCCGCGGCGGCGACCTCGTCCGGCTTCTCCCTGTCGCCACCGCCCGTGACGGGTGCATCGTCTGCAGCGGCCAAGCCACCGAGCTCCGGATTTAGTCTGCCGCCACCACCAGGCATGGGCTCGATGGCGTCCATGACACCGACCACGACGACCGCGTCGACGCCCAACTACATGCCCAACTACAACCGTCCGGGCCTGGGTAGCATGAACTCGATGGGGTCTATGAACACTATGGGCGGTATGGGTAGTGTGAACAGCATGATGTCGTCAAATAACAAGAACGGGGTACGGATGGGGATGAATTCCATGAACTCCATGAACTCCATGGCCAATGCCAACAACAGCAACAACACAAATGGTATGATGGCGACGCAGCCAGGCAAGACGGGCCTCGACAAGTACGAGAGTTTGCTGTAGGGTAGAGACATTGGGACAGTATTTTGGGGTTATAGACTCTGCATATTCGCAAGCGTTGCCAAGCCTTTTTTGCTTCACACACAATTTCCAGTCCTTTCACAATCATGGCATCATCGTTTACACGGCATCGTCGCATCGTCGCAACATTGTCACCGTTTGCCACAGTTTGTCACAGTTGCAAGAATGTAACCACAACTGATTCCCGACCGATCAGGCAAGATGCAAAACGATCTCATGTCACGGTCGGGCGCCCAGCAACGGGTAGAAGGCTCCTCGTTCTCAAAACGAGAATGGATGAGGAATAAGGTCTGATCTGCGCCAGCCGTCGGAAGAGTCAACTTTATGTGAAGAACAAAAGCACTCCCCCTTTGTGAGGGTTGTCCCCAGTCGGCCGAAGCCGGTGGGGGACGCTGGCGGTATTGGAGCAAGAAGCAAAACCAAAAAGGACATGACAACCTGCCTCGGCTACTCCCAACGACGCGCGAGACAAGGGCAGGATACCAAGTCGAGGACGAGACCGCTGAGAGACGAGCGTAACGAGAGACCGACCGAGACCAGGGGACGCCTTCTTCCCCCATTTTTGTGACAGAAGACCATTGATTCTGGACGCAGGATGAAGCAATAGATGGGCGAGCAGATGGCATCATGGCATCCTGGCATCGGCTGTCACTTTACGAGTTTCCGTATGGCCAATTTTGCGTCGTCATTCGCGTATTGTCTCGTGATCGTTCGTCTTCTCTTTTCTGCCCGACTCGGTTTGCGGTCGTCCAATAAAACATTGCTTGTCGAAGGCACACTTTTGTCTCGCTTAGGTGTCACTAGGCTGAAGGTAAACTCAGGTTGTCAGTTTTGGTGATGGTTTTGCGTTGCTTGCCGTGAGGCAGAAAAAATAGGAAGATGGAAGAAAGGAAAGAAAAGAGTGAAATTTTGAAGGTTCCATTTGGGACTATTTTTGCTGGAAAATGAGTGGGGTCACGATTTAAAGCTAGGGAAGGAGCTACCGCTGTTCACCGCCTGCCAAAACTGAGACGGCCAACAGTATGCAAACACTCTCACAATCAACTCGACGAACAATACGTCTTTTATTCACTCCAAATAAGCTTACGGCGTCTCGCGAATTGCCTTCTTATCATGTCACACTCGCGGATATCCTTGCTATTGTATGTCGTACGAAGTATTTGTAACCATCTGTCATTGCTTCTGTTTGCGGCTCTTTCCGAAACGGGAAGGCCACCAGAACACAGCGCCAAAGACAAGGCAGTAGGCGCTGACCACATGTCACTAGCAGGGCACCACGCCCTAAAAGACGGACCACTCAGGGGCCAGAACTCAGGGGTTACTGGGCACGACAGAGCAACTTGTTAAGAAGGAGTGGCTTAAAGGGGTAAGTAGGCAAGAGCAGCCTGTGAAGAATAGGGGCTGAGGGGCTTCTGGGAGCTGCTGATGGCAAATGTTTTGAAACACATTCGCGCCGTCTGCAGGCCAAGACATAAAAGTTGAAACGCACTACCACCCAAGACAGAGACCAGCGCCGGCCTATGGGAGGCCGCATACACGCAAAAGACACAAACGCCTCCCTCCATTCAACCCCTGCGCAAAGCTTGTTCTTGCAGGGCTGGTTGGTCGACGATGATCGACAAGAAACCAGACAGTGCAGAATGGTGAGCGATGGAGAAGCGGTGTTTGTGGGGAGGCGAGCGACGGCCTGTGAATGGGCAGAGGGCGACAGGGACGACGAGACGGCGGCGCAACGACTGACCTGTTTATTTGACGGACAATACGAGCAGCGTCCTTTGTCTAGCCCATCTCTGCCCCATCTCGTCTCTTGCTGTCCACATCGTTTTGATGTCTGGCACAGGCAGGAGTCGCAGAGTCGGTGAGCTTTGGCGCCGCCTGGTTTCCTTGGTTTCTTAGAGCTATTATGGTCTCGTCAGCTCCTCAGTTTCGTCCATCTTCCTTGGCTTCTTAGCACAAACAACGGACGGCAGAGAGACGAGCAAGGAAACAAAAGAAACAAAAGAAACAAAAGAAACAAAAGAAACAAAAGAAACAAAAGCAGGACAGAGCAAAGAGAGGCGGCACAAAATAGCACGGGTGACCAGGCCGGTGCCAAAACGGGTAATACGGGGCGTCCATTCAGCTGTCTGGTCAGTCATGCATTGAGGACTCCATTTGCTGCGGACAATCTGGCCAGGGGTGAGGACATCCTCGCAGAAAAGCCTGCAAGTCTATGCAAGGCACACCAGAGAAACAAAGGCGCACACTCAGGCAAGAGAGAGGAGGACACGACACTGGCGATCCTTACCGGGGAAAAGACAAAGAATGGCGACAAAGGAACAGACGACAGGTGCACGTCCTTTTTGTTTCGTTTGGCCTTGAATGGCCGTTCGCTCTCGTCCTCTTATTCTCGGCCGTCTGCTCTTCTTTGCGTATTTTCTTTCTTTTCTTCTCTCTTCAGTCTCTTCTGTCGCCAGCTCAGTCATCTTCTTTGTGCATTCTGCTTCTCATTCACTTCATTCAACGCTGGTCTCGTGCCGTCTTCCCTTCATTTTTGTTTGATACAACACCTGGTTCACCAGCTTGACGCAACAACAGCGTTCTTTGCACGTCGTTGCACCCTTTTCACTCTTTGCTTCACTGCTCAAATTTTCGCTGGTCGTCCTTTCCATTCATTATTCACTGGTCTTCCTATTTGCTGGCCACTTTGCCACCGACAGACAGAAAGAACAAACATCACGAACACCCATCTTTGTTCACCATCACCTTGGCATCCCATATTTACGACCTACGACCGTGCAACCTACACCACATATTTTCCGAACGCGGAAACGCATTTTGATACCCAGTCTCGATTCCTACATCTTCTCGCGCTTGGCCCATCTTTCATCTTTCACTTTGCCTCGCCTCATCTGATCTCACATCCTACAGCCACGCAAATATGACCTTCTCACGCCTTGCCGTCTTCGCGGCGTTCTGCGCCAGCCTTGTTGCTGCTCTTCCCACCCCCGACACCGGTGTGCACAGCTTCATCCGGCGCGATGCCACTGCCGCCTCCATCGTCGGCTCCGTCATGCCCAAGTCGTTGTCGTGCGCCAACGTCGACTACCCGGACCAGTGCGCCACCAACGTCCAAGCCGCGCCGTACTTTATCAGTGCCATGGCCAAGTGGGGCATCACCACCGCCCCCGAGATCGCCGCCGTCCTTGCCCTCGTCGCCGTCGAGTCGGGCGAGCTCCGTTACCGTCACTCCGAGTTCCCCAAGGTCGCGGGCAAAGGCACCAGCAACATGCAGTCCCCTGCCTACAATGCCGAGTACGCCGCCGCGATCCCCGAGCTGGCATCGGGCGTGGCCGCGGCCAACGGTGACCCAGACGCCGTCCTGGCTCTCCTGACCGTCGACGACTACAACTTCGGCTCGGGCGCCTGGTTCCTGTCGAGCCAGTGCGCCAGCATCCGCAGCCAGCTGCAAACAAACACGGACGACGGCTTCATTGCGTACATGGGCTGTGTGGGTGCCACCATGACGAGCGAACGCCTGGATTACTGGCACACTGCACAGAAAGCGTTTGGCTTATAGGAGGTGGTCAAGAGATTGCACTGCTTTAGACAGTTGCCGTTATTTTCATTCTGTTGTATTTTTATACCTATTTCACTTCTACACTTTTTCACTTCTTCCACACCTGACGGTGTATTTGTCTCATTTATTTTTTCCCATCTGCTACAAAGCCGAATTTATTTCTAGAAAGACGCACTTGAAATTACAAAACATATCAAACCGTATCAAAAGAAAATACAAATTGCATTAAACTTTGCAGAGATGCTTCTCTACCCTAAACTTGACTTGTATTCCTTGTAAATAAACAGTGGCACACAATATTTGTCTTCCTTTAGGCTGATGAGCCCATTCAAACAACCGCCCTTGCTCTTTGATACCAACCACTGCATATCCCCTTGTTACCTCACCTCTATATTGCAAAATGTTCACGCAAATCCTGAACCGTCAGTATCGTAATACTGCCTAGGCCGTCGCTGGGTCGCAGCGACCCCATTCCGGTTGGCAGGCCACAATGGCAGGACAAAACTGGTCGCCCGTGCCGCAGAAGCCAAACTGCGAACAGCACTCCCCAAACGTCGAGCCTTTGCACGTCTTGCCATTGCCACACGAGCCATCGGTCGTCACCGACACGCCGGGCGGCAGGGCCGCAGCAGACGTCGACGAAGCGGGTGGCGCGGCGGCCGCAGAGCTTGTGGCGCTCGTGGCGCTCGGCTTGGGCGTGGCCGAGGCGCTCGTCGTTGGCCTGCCGCCCGCGACGCTGCTTGCGGACGAGACCGGCGGCGCGACGCCGCCAAAGCACAGTCCAAACTTGGACTGGCAGCCCGTGCCGCAGAAGTCGATGCCGTCGCCGCAGTAGAAGAACTGGCTGCAGCACGACCCGTGTCCCGAACCCGCGCACGTCGTGCTGTTGCCGCACATGCCGTTGGTGCTGGGCACCAGTGTGCCGGGCGGCACGGGCGATGTCGAGGCCGGTGGCGGCGGCTTCGCGCTGGTCGACGGCGGTGGGCTGGCCGGGGTCGTCGTCGTCTTGGGCGGCGGAGGAGCCGCACTCGTGGTCGTCACGGGCGGGGGGGATGCCGGCTTTGTGGTCGTCACAGGCGGCGGAGCGGCCGTGGCCGACTGCGAGGCACCGAGGCACGAGCCAAAGGCGGACTGGCAGAGTGCAATCGGGTTGCAGAACTCACCACCCACACCACAGTAGCCCCACTGCGAGCAGCACTGGCCTGCCGGGCACTTGGCGTTGCCGCCGTCGGCACCACAGCGGCCCGCGGCGGCCTGGCGGCCCTCGAGAACCGAAGCGGCATCCGGTTGGCCCGCGTCGCGACGTTGGAACATGCCACCAACTGCTCCGTCGAGCATCATGTTGGAGCCATAGCTGCCGTACACCGTGCCAGAAAGTGCCAGGGTGGCACCGAGAGTGAATGAGGTCCACCGCATTGTGATGGTGGTTTTAAAGGAATGGTAGAAGTTCCGGTAACAAAATGATGGTGGATCCAAGAGCAGAGTCCAGAGGAGAGTCCACTCAAAAAAGAAAGGAAAGAAAGAAAAAAAACAACAACGGGGATTGAGCTTGATCCGCACTGATACCAAACTGCAGATCAAGGCAGCACAAATAGTTGATACTAGCAGGCAAAGAGAGATGCAGAAAAGACTGGCTGCAACGGGGAATTTTAAACCGAAGCGACGGGACGAGGCAGAGAACCAGACAATTAAAGCACACAGAAGAACAGTGAGAGAGAGGGGGGGGGGGGATCAGGAGAGGATGAGGAAAAAGAAAGGGAAGAGGCAGGGGACAGAATAAAAACACCAAAAGGAAGACAGGGTGGGAGAAAGCATGCCGAGTTTATCGGCATGATGTCAGCCAGATGAAGACGTCTACAGCCTAGTTATCGCGGGGCCAAAGTATTGTAGATGAGCTGCTTTCTTGCTTGCCTGGCCCCTGTCACTAGCACCCCCTCTCCATTCCCTCGGCTGCATGTTCAAGTATACAAAGGAGTAAAAAAGAAAAAGAAAGAGACCGCTGGGCAGGGGCACGTTAATTGACGTCGTTGGCCGAGAGTACCCGCGGCCAACTGCGTCGAACTTGGGAGCACGGAGCCAACAACTGTCATATTGGGCCCAAGACGGAACAATTGAGGGGGACAGGAAGGAACCAAGACGTCAATAAGTGGTAGATTGCCGAGATAAATATATCGCTGGGCTAGGGCAGAAAGTGAGTGGAATAGAGGGAGTGTTAACGACTGACAGAGCAGGAGCAACATACCAAAACAAGAGAAGGCTAAAAGCCTCTGTGCCTTCCATCCCAGTACGTACCCGGCGGGAGAAGTGCTTTCGATATTTGTTTTGTACGTTGCACAGCTGCAAAACATAAAAGGAAAGTAGAAAGTCATCGAACTTGGGGAGGCAAACGAAGCAATCTCACGCCGTATGTGAAAGCTCTATTCAGCACGGTGAGCAGGCTTCCAATGTACATGCAGTTGCGATAACAACGACAGCGATTGTGAAAGGGGTGTGCCACGAAGGAGGCCATGGAGGGTGGCCTGCATACGGACTCGCAACCTGGCCTGCCGCAACCAGACAGGCAGTTACTTCGGCTCGATTGTGGTGAGAAAAGGCTGTATACTACTAGCAACAGCGACGAGGGTATGTCCAGAAGCGTGAAAGGGTAGACATGGCATTAGTATCGCTTCTTGTTGTTCGCATTGAACTTGCTCGTGATGGTCAAGGGAGAAAATGGAACGTACGTGCTCTGGAGGAAACGGGTTCTTTGTGATTTTCTGCTTGGTACTGGCACTACACAAGCAGTCGATAAGTTCGGGATGTGCATTCTGCCGACACGGAATTGATGTCCTCTCGGCTAGATGATCTTTGTGCCACACCATGTCCCTTTGCTGCACCCTTCGGTTGAGATTGCGTAGCTGTGGGGTTAATCTCTCTCGACCAGATATATGACCTGAACTGGGGAAGTTTTTGTTAGTGGAAAGGAAATCCGGGAGTTAGAAAAGAGAACTCTGCCTAGTGCACCGTGCACGGAAGAGAGTGATGGAACCTTTGGATATTAACAGGAGCAGGTGAATTGCCAAAACCAGCACAATGTCCTTTGATATTCTGCTGATCATTGCTTGCTCCGTTGTCATTTTGGTTCAGGCCGCACTTCCACGTGAGTAGGTAGTAGTCGTCGATCGTCGACAATGTTTTTGGCCGATCGTCCACGCTAAGCATTGACCAAAATGCGGACAAATGGGTACCGGAATATTTTGCTCGGATATGATAGCACACGTGTAGTAATATTGCGAATTGTTTCCTCGATTGTCCCTCTCTGGCTGAACAGTTAGAAAAGACGGGTAGAAAGTAAAGCAAAGTTATGCACTGCGGAGAGAGGCGGTTGGATTTGGGATTGCCTGGGGAGAAATGAGAAATATCTAGAAAGGTCGGGGACTGATCACCTTGTCTGGCTAAGGCCTTGTTCTTGACGTCGTATCGACGACTCTTTGCTAATATTCCTTGAAAAGCAAGGAGAGCAGGCTCTTGCGAGCGGATCTGACGGTGAATGTTCCGATAGAAATTGAAACCACAAATTGGACAAAATGGGATGACAGAAAGAGGAAGCGGGTAAGTGTAGCCTACCATATACGGCGAGGTCAACGGCTGAGGCGAGGGGAAAGGTAGAAAGCTAGGCGGACTGGTAGCTGCCGACCCGCGGAATTGTGGGTTTTATTCCCGAGAGATGAGACCAAAAATGACAGAACAAATGCCTTGTGTCGTCGAGTAATGATTTTGGGAATCGCAGCAGAATTGCCAGATGACCCGTCCTTGGCACAGGACACGCATATGGTGAAGAAGGTTGAGATGCTTTGCTGCAAGCATCATCTTGTCCGTCTCGCTCGCAGGTGAGCTATATATAAAAGTAGAGGATGAGCTAGATTGTGAGAGTCGGGCCCAAGACTCGGATCGAAGACGACAGTGAATAAAGTCTGGTCATGGGACTGGTATCGGCTGTGAGCAGCTTATAAACTGAGTTGAGTTGAGAGTGTAAGGCTATTTCGTCGTGGTGGCCTGCTGTTTTATTGCCCACCGTGCAATCCTCGTAACAAATAATCCATTGACTCATATATAACAATCCAAGAGTTCCCAATAATACACTAGGGGTGATGTTCCAAAAAAAAAAAAGCAAACGTGAAAAATAAATGATCCCAAAGCCAAACCTGTGCCACTTGGCATACCGTCCGGTGCAAGTGTCTTTTTTGTATCTCGCGAGGTCAACCAGACCAATGTAGTTCAGTCCAAAGACCCAAAATTAAATATCAAGCCCATTGGGCCAACAAGGACATAACAAACAAACCTACAGCCATGGGCTCTAGAGTACTTGTGACCCTGCCTATGCTGTCTGTAGCACGGCGTTCACCATAGCCCCCAATCAAAGAATGCTCTCACGTCGAAGGACCGGAGCTCGGCATGTCGGTGCCGCTGTAGTTAAAGGTGTTTCCGGTGCCGTCGCTAGCCACGTTCGTTCCAAGAGGCTGATCCGAGCTGCTGAAAAACTGGAAGGTCTGGTCGCCAGCGGCAAATGGACCGCTCTGTGCGTATGACTGAAGTGTATCCTGTCCTGAAATTAGCGACGATGGCCAAGAGAGAAAATGCAGGGGCAGGCAACAAGATATTCGGATTTAATCAGGTCTTGCTTACCCAGTCAAAGTTGGTCGTAAAGTCCATGGCGTCATCCATAATGTTTGGCACACCACTGCCCATCGCCTGGCTGAACATGTTAAAGCCAGCCATGGAGCTCATCATGTCTCCATTCAGATCGGTCGCCGTCAAGCCACCATCGATGGCTGCCGAGAGCGTTGGGTCAATGGTGTCGAACGCCGTTCCACCAGGCGCCGGCATCGAACCAAACATGGAATTGGTGGCAGCCGTGTTGATAGCAGCCGTATTGGCAGCGGTGGATGGGGAGGTCGTCGTAGACGCACTCTCGAAGCCGGGAATCGTCCCAGACATCATGTTCAGCGGGGCCATCATGTCAGACTGGTCCATGGCCGGATCGGTGAGAGGAGTGTCGACCTGTACGGAGTTGTCGGACGGAGTGGACTTGGCGGCCAAAGGGGGATCGATGGAGCAGATGCCGGACGTCACAAATGCTTCCGTAGGACGCGGCCCTGTCGGTGGCGGCGATCCAATCTTCTCCAAGACGATGCGGATGATGTTGTAGGCTTTGTAGGCCTCCATCGAGCCATCTGCCAAAGGCCGCCAAATTTCTTTGGTTGTGGTGAGCATGTTAATCATGTCGGCGCGCTGTTCGCGCGTCCAGAAACCGTCTTCTTCTTGGCCGTCCTTGCTGGCCAGGTTGTCGTACCGAACTTCCAGTGCTACAAGCATAGCTGGCAACAGGAAGTCCTTGGTCGCAATGGACGCGACATACCACTTGATAGACCGCAGCCGTCCGTTGGCCTGCGACTCTTTGTTGAGTGTTTGCAGGTGGTGCAGTGTTTCCATCGAAGCTTCGATCGCGCTCCGTCTCGAGTGGGCATACCGTGGATTCTGTCTCGCCCGAGATAGGTATTTGCGATGCAGCAGACACATGATCTTCTGGTACAGGCTATCAATGTTGAACCGAGCAATGATGAGAGTCAAGGGGTCTTGCGAGCCCTCCAGAGGCTGCAGCTTGAGGTGAGAGGGAATCTCTTCCTTGACCTCACGGAGGCGGGCGTCGTACCGGAGAATTTCTTCGTACGGAACGGGCTTACCAACGCGCGTCGTTGCCTGGAGAATGTTACCCAGCTCCAGACACAGCTTCACCTTGGCAATCATGTAGGCAATGGGTGTGGGCTCCGAGTTGGGTCGGGAAGGTGGGAGCACTTTGGTGTTCGGGCCAAACTCCTCGTCGAAAATGTTCAGTGGGAGCTGCGTGTCACAATCGTGATCGTAGATCATGTTGGGCAGCGACACTTGGTGGGAGAACATCACGTCGCACATCCGCACCAGGGCCCATGTCCTTCTGCGCATTTCGGCTTGGAAGGGCGTAATGGATGGGAACCATTTGGCGTCCCGGTGGTATCCCATGCGGAAGGCCACTCTCGTAATCAGAGAGCCGATCAGCCAGAGGCCTAGATCAGCATCCCAGCGGGAGGAGTACTCGCCGAACACATAGAGAATCATGGTTTCCACCGTGTACTCGACAGGCTTGGTGTAGTCCGCCGTCGTAAGACACTGGACCGTGCGTACACGGAACAGCGAGGCGAGCTCCATAGCGTGGCCCTTCCACTCAGGTGGCTCGTCGCCTACCTTGTGGTAGCTCAGCATGGCCAGGCACATGACTGAATATAATAGGCCGAGCCACATGATTGGCGTTTTTGACGGATTCTGCCAGTGGCTGCGTAGCTGTGCATTGAAAGTAGGCGCGTGGATGATGTTCACGGCGTTGTCCATCGAGTTGAAGT